CAAAATGTCAATAGTGCTGAGGTTGAGAAACACAGGTCTAAACTACAGTGTAGATCAGTTCTTAAAGTCCCGACTACTCATGAGATCCAGGCTCAGTGGGATAATAATTAAGGCTAGCAAGTGTCTATTAAATTGGGAAGGAAATAAATTAGGATTCTGGAACTGTGGCCTCCATAAAACTGAAGGGCAGGTATAACGAGTGTATTTGACTGCACTAGAAGGCTAAGAGCTAATGCAACTGGAGATGAGGATTTCAGATGTGTAGCAAGTCTGTTTAAAGATGAGGTCCCACGTACAGCCACAGGAGTAGCGAGGAGCAAGTTTAAACAGTCTGACTTGTGATACAGCAGTCAACAGCTGAACCTAGTAGGGAAAACATTCATTAAACAGATGAGTGTCTGGTGAATATGGATATACCAGTTTTTCTCAATGTTTTTGTAACCCATAGCTCTACTTCTCATATTACCTAAAAATCTCACATATTCCCACCTTCAGTGCTATTTAAAATTTCACAATTAAGTATCATGACTAAAAATCAAAGCAACTGTAATTTTGGAAGGCAAAATTTATTCAGATGATGTGATAACCCAGTCACTGTTAAGCCTTAACTTTTCTTTCCTGGGTGGTGTAGAAGATGTAACAAAACACAAGCTGCTTTAATACTCTGGTACTGCTTTCTCCCCAGAGCTAGATATACCCCCTCCCCCCAAAAAAGCTTTTAAGATGTAAAGAGAAAACAGAATAAATTCTTCTCATCTTTTTAGACATTTTATATCCCAATTTCTCTAGAGTCTTTATCTGGAAGTTTCTAGTCAAAACAATCAGACTTTTGAGTTCTACATACTCCTCTTGAAGTTCTCTCAGTGAGGACCAAATATCAGTAAAAACATTCTTTCCAAAAGCTACCACGGGTAGGTTTTAAGAATGACGTCAAGAAGAATCACCCAAAATATTTCTGGATATTTCATGTTTTTTTTCTTGAAATAACTTTTATGAATCTAGTCCTTCAAAGATGGCCAAGCAAATTGGACATTTTTAGTATGAGCTTGCTCTGTGTAGCTGGATTTTTGGTAAGTTTTGCTTTTTTTTTTTTGCTTAAAGTATTTCAAAACAAGCAGGGATGTTGGTGCTTGCCTTTTGACATTTCACGGTCTGTGTGTTTTAAGCTTCAATGCATTAAATTCTGCTGAAAGTTTTAATTTATGAAATTTTAAAGTACAGATTCTCTTTAGGTGGTTTCCAAAATCAGAGGGTTGTTTTGTCATTGGTGTTCCAAAATCAGTTCTGTCCACAAATTCAGCTGAATACAGTTGACAACCAAGGAACCTCAGTATGTAACAGAAAATACTCTCCAACAGCATTCTGAACAGATCTTCAAAAATCAAAGCAAACTGGGATCGAATCTACCGTTTTTCACAAAGGTTAACTGACAGAAAGGTGAAGATTTCCAGTAGATTATGGGCCAGTTGATGGAAGCTGATGCCTGGTGGTGATTGCTACAGTACATCTTAAACACAGTTTTCTTCAGTTTTTGCCAAAAACCCAGATCTAAAACACTACTGTAATGGATACCCTTATAATATTATAATTTTCCTCCAACTCAGTTTATTTGCTACAGCTTCAAAAATACTGTCTTTAGTGGTCAAGTATTAGGCTTATGAAACCAGTACACTCACAGTTTTTAAAGCCTCTCTTAAACATAAGCAAAGCACATTTTTATCAGATTTCTTCTCAACTAAGCAAAGAAGGATGAGCTGATATTTTTTAAAACCTGAAGTTTGATATACTCAGTCATCAATCCAGAGTTAAGACTGCAGAAGTAGATGAAGAAAGTCTGGAATTCCTCAATTTCCTCTCAAAGTTGTGGCAGCACTTGGAATGCAAAGCTTCACAAGTTTCTCCATTTTTTTCTCCTTTGCAATTAAAAGGGCTATTTAATATTATGCTTTCATAGCCTTTGAAGATTGCTGTTAATATTCCAATACTGTCCAATCTTAAAGCTGCATAGAATTGTGCTTTGCAGAATACTCCACTGTTTTTATAGCATAAATTTAACAGTGTTTGGCATGGTGTCACTGCCCAACATTTTCAGGTAACTCAACTGAAGAAGTTCACCCTATCTTCTGTGTCATAACGTGAATATATACTTGATAAAAGCCTCAAAAAAATTTTCGGCTGCCATCTTTAGCTACCTCAAAGGAGAAAAGAGAAAAAGGAGTACTGATGGTGGAAGCATCTGGTCCCTCTTGGAGAACGATGAGTGATTTTATTGGCGGCAGCTCGGTGGCAGAGCAATATAGGCATCCAGTTATGCCTGAGCCCCAAGAAGTGAAATCTTTGTTCATTTCCTTTTTATACACCCATCTGCCGCCTAAAACCTGACACCATTTAATGGTGCCCCTGGTCAAATCTATAAATGATCTTACTTTCATAATCCTCTGATTCTAGCTTGAAGAGTCAAGATGAACTCTAACTCATGGGATGGACAAAATGGAAGATGCAAATAAGTAAGCTTTTCAGAGCTAAAAAGTCTCTTTTTATACAAAATTAAACTTTAAAGAACATTGACCTCCAAACAACGTAACTGTCTTGGATATGCTATAAAAATAGCAGTATAAATAGCACCATACCCACAGTGAACATCTGCAGCTACCCAACCTGTCATACCTCATTAATTATAGGCCTTACTCTGAATGCTGCTTGTTCTATCTTTGTACTCCCACCGCCAAGGAGTTCTTTCCAACTTTATTTCGTAGGAAATGTTTTTTCTTTTTAACATTACAACACTAAATATAATTTTGTAAACTATAACTCTTCTCCATATCTGCAATGCTAATATAATTTGTGGAGGGAGAGAATGCCTTTCCCTCTTATTCCTAAAAATCACTGACTATTCCTTGAGTCTGTGAGTGACAACACTCTACTCAGTCCCTGAAACTAAAAAGCTTGCTTACTTCCAAAGTAGATAAAAAACGTGTTGAATTGGTAGCTGACAAAAATTCACTGTAACCAGAACTGTGTGATGAATAATGCATAATATTAAATAAACCCTTATATAAAAAGTTTATTATAATGATAACTATTACTATGAGTTTATTCAGTAAAATTCTAAATTATGCTATTGTAATGTTATATGTTGAGCAATGAAAGGCAGTAACAAAACTATGTCATCAATTACTAAAAGTTTACACATACATAAAAAATTTTTACCTCTTCAACGTAATTCCTATGTTTGGTAACACCATCTACCTAAATTCTGGTATATGTTTGAACATAAAAGTTATATTTTCCTTTAAATATTCTATATTTTGAAAGGGTTTATCCCCAATTTGTTTTACTTGGTTTTGCTGTTTATATTTAGTGGTATGCTTTATAAGTAAGAGTGTTCTATGGCTTCCCTGGTTGAATAGACCATCTATTTTCTCCTGTCTAAATTGGCTTTCAATTAAAATTTCAGTTTTGAAATCCTTTCAGAAAATTCTGAGGATTGAAAGGTTACCTTCTTACATCACCTTCAGTATACTAAAACCCAGAAGTACAAGACATAGTTTCTCGGGGCAACAACCTTTGTTACCCTGGGGAAAGCACGGTGCTAGGGTTTGTGCTTAAAGTCAAGTTCGTTTGATGAAATTAGAAGTGATTTGTAGTTAAGATTTGTGTCTTATGTGTCCACTTACCAGTAACTGTAAGTTGGAAGGGTATGATAATAGCTAATGTATGATGTCTTAGGACAGTGTTCTGTTTATGTTTTGACTGCAATCCAGAGTAAGCAATGTTTTACTCTCAGACCAAGTATACACACGTGTACATAAGACAGTGTTTACCTTAGTATGTTCCATGCACTCTGATGTATTGTCTAATATTAAAATAATGCTGAGCATGACCCATTTATTTTAAGACCCACTAACTGGTCAACCCCCACAATTTGAAAACCACTGCTATAGGAGAACATGAGGAAATATTTTATAAACTGTAAAGTACCCTGAAATGTGAGCAGCTGCTAATGAATATCCAGGATAAGACTTTTACGGGCCTGAGACATTCTCTCCTTCCTTGGGTACTGCTAGGAGTCACATTCAGGAAGACAGTATTCAAGCTGTCATTGAGACAACTCTGTAATAACTTGGCAGTGTATTAACAAAATCAGAACCCAAAGAAGACAACTTAGAGGAATATAAAAAAAAAAAAAAAGCAGACATTTGCTTAGTGCTTTATGGTTTATAAAATACTTTCACATACATGATCTCTTAATCTTAAGCCTAGGGGAAAATAAGCTAACAGGTAGAGACCTGCCCAAGATTAGACAGTAAGTGGCAGAGCCAGGTCATCTGTTCCTAAATCCCTCACTCCTTTCACTGTGATAAAATACCAGGAAAGGAGAGTGATTAGGGCATGAGGCTTCTGATCCATCAAAAAGATGTGTATGTCCTCTGCCTCCCTCTGTAGGGAAAACGGACCCTACTGACGGTGAGGAAGCAACCTCAGACTTTGGGAAGGGGGTGTGTCCAGTTGCACTTAATTTGTCCAGGACTCAAACCTGGCATTTCAGCCTATCAATACCAGTCATGTTTTTTTGTATGTGTTTTTTCTCCAGTCATCTGTTTTGACACTGCTCTGAGTTCCCAAATGTCTATTATCTACAAGTATTATGGCTTTCCATTCCTAATGTGTTAAGGGTCTTGGGATCTTGGTCAGGTACAGACTCAGGACACAACAGAGGGAAATCAAATACTAGGGATATGTCACCTATACTCAGATTGAAAGGGAATAACAGTAGTAAGCTTCTGGTGACTGTTGTGTCTTTGCTTAGCTTCCCCTGGGGAAGCCAGTCAGCCTCAACCAGTTTGTCTCCTTTCTCTACATATGCCCATCTCCATTACTGAGCCCTCATCTCTCACAAAAAGAGGTTCAACTAGCAAGTACCCATCTCTCCCAGCTCCCCTTGTTTTCTCTCCTCTCCCTTCAACCCCCCCACCCTCTTTACCCCTTGTGCCTCTCACCTTGTACTCCTGCACCACCTCCTCCAATGGCACTACGCTGTGCTGTTTGTGGCTCCTGGATTCTCGGCACACCACACAGATGGCCTCTTTGTCCACCTCACAGAAGAGCTTCAGGGCTTCCTGGTGTTCGGAGCAGATGCCCCGGTCATTCCCCCAGCTTCCTCGATAAGGAGTGGGGCACATTTGGCGAATTATCTGGACCATGTTGGCCAGCTGCAAGTTGGGACGAAAGTTGCGACGTGTAAAGCTCTTTCGGCACTGGGGACAGGTGAACTGAGGTGGAGGGGCTGGAGGAGGCAGGTGGGTGTCAGGATACAGCTCTTGGTCGTTCTCATCGTATTCTTCCAGTATCTCCTCTTCTGGGTAGACATTAACTCTCAGGTCATGTCTCAAGTCTCCCAGGTAATAGTCCTGGTCTTCCTCCTCCTCTTCCTCCTGGTCCCACACATAGTCCTTGTCCCAATTCCTGACGCCACCATCACCAACCCAGAGTTCATCAACTTCTTGGTCCTGGAACACCTCATCAGCATTGCCCTGGTACAAAACCTCTCGAATAGAGTTGTCCCATCCACCGATGGCCCCCTCCACATCGTCGTTCTCGTCCTCCTCCCATTCATCTTCCTCCTCTTCCCTGTCTTCCTCATCTTTGCCCCACAGCTGGGTCACACATCCTCGGCAGAAGTTGTGCCCGCAGCCTATGGACACAGGATCCTTGAAGTAATCCAGGCAGATGGCACAAACAGCTTCCTCCTGAAGGGTCTGCATGGGGTTAGGAGTAGTGGCATAGCCAGCCATTTTAACGCGCAGCCTGTGGGTGTGGATGCCTCAGCTCGGAGCTAAGGAGTTGGGGGACTGCTTTGCGGGCCTGCCTCCAACCTACGCTTGTGACCCAAGGCTGTTCTCAACCCTGCTCTTCCTCCTCAGGCCCGCAGAGATGCCTTGCTTCCTTCCCTCAGGCTTTTTCCAGCTCAAGGCGCGAAAGCCCTCGGTCCAGACTCAGCCGTCCTATAAGGGCAGCGGGGGCTGAACCAGGCTGCAGCCTCCACTTTCCTTTGAGGCTCAGCTTGCAAACCCAGATCCTGACGTTTCTTGCTTCCCTCCGGGTTTGCCCGACCCAGCGGCGTCCTCCTCAGGTGTCGACACTACTCACCCAGCCCGAGGTGACAGAAAATGACGTAGGCGCTCTAACCCACACTCGGGAAGGGGTAGACTGAGCCGACGGAGGACCACATTCTCTATGATGCCCCAGGGGACGCCATAGCTGGGAGCCCGGCCGGCCATGCAGCCAGCCCGTGAGACTAGGTAGAGGTGGAAAGAGAATCAATTTAAGCCATTGAGTGGCTTATCGCCGCTCCAGTTAGCCAGATACATAAGATCCGGCAGGCTCAGCTGAGCCAGTACCCAGGAACCGACCCAAAAGAGGGGGGGTGCGGCAGCCAAGCTCGAGCTCTGGTGCACTTCCGGCCCTTCTAGCCGGAGACCTCTGTGGTAGTAAGAACGTCTCAGAGGCCGCGCTCGGGGGAGGGGGCGTGGGCTGCAGAAACGTAGTGGGGTGGGGCTTGCGGTGGCGCGTAGTTGCTGTGAGGGCAAAGGATCTCGCGTGCCTCCCAAATTTTCTCCTCAAACCAATTAACCCCTTTATTTTTATATTTTATTTGAGACAGAGTGCAAGCGACAGGGTATAAGCAGAGGGAGAGGCAGAAGCAGGCTCCCTGCTCAGCAGGACCCTGGGATCACAACCCGAGCTGAAGGCAGCCACTTAACCGACTGAGCCACCCAGGCGCCCCCAATTAACTTTAGTGCTGCCTGCAGAGCCTCCGCCTCCTAGCCCTGATCTCTCCCGCGACTTTTACTTCTATGTCCATCAGCACTGTCCTGCGACCACTTATCCATGCACGCATGCGTGCATCCATTCATCCACCCAGCTACCCATTCATTTTAATTCCATCCATCATATACATGCATAACCCATCCATTTATCCTTCCACTTTATAGGAACAAAAATGTAAGGCATGATCAATCCCTTCAAGGAGTTCAGAGTTCTAAGTGTGTGGTTTTCCATAACCCAAGGTTTTACAAGGTTTACTCCACCCTCACTAAGAAATGCACTGCACATGTTAATCCAATATAGACTTTCACATATATAACAAAATTTCCCTTATGGCATTCAAGGCACCCTGATATATTCTGTTCTATTTTGCTTAAGTAAAATGCTGTTCAAGATCCACTGGTATGATTGTACCCCTCATTAATTGGTCACTGTTTGGTTTGAGGAACACCACCTGCCCTAATGGAATCTTCAAGGCACCCTGGAATCCCTCCTCTCCTTCTCTGGGCCCAAACTTGAACCGTAGGTTCTACAGAGCAAGGATGGTAAATGCTGTTAACATTGTACATGCAGCTCCTCTATCATAGTGCTGATGAACATACAGCAAGGACTTCTTACATATCTGCTGAATAAATAATAACAAACCCAACAAATTGCAACCACCAAGTCCTGCTGATTTTTATTTCCTCAAAATTAAGCCACTTTCTCAATCTCTGTTCTTGCCATCCTAGATCTGACCCCATCAGCTTCCAGCTGGACAAAAAGTTTCCTAACGGGTCATTTGCACTCATTTCAGTCCATCCTGCAGCCAGCAGAACCATCTGCCTGAAATGAAAGTCTGACACACACATGCCAGGCTGTTGCCTCTATGTGTTTGGGCATATTCTCCCACCTAAAAGGCTTTTGTCTCACTGCTTCACCCAGATATAACTCCCTAATTATCCAGGTCTCTGCCCAGGCATAATCTGAAGGAGATTCTTCCACAAGGCTGGTCCCAGGCTGTTTTAGCACCCCAAATCTGTCACTTTCTGTGTGACCTTGGATTAGTTTCTTAACAACTGTGCTGCCATATCCCCATCTGCAAAATAAAGATGATAGTAGCACACACATTAGGCTTGTTGTGAAGTTGGTATTCCAATTCCAATTATTGACATCCATAATTAGAACGGTGCCCACTGGGGTTATCCCATTACCTACCATTATATTCCTTTCCTGTAGTAGACGAGCCATAGAAGAAACTCACCCCATCTCCTGTTCTCTTCCTCTTTGAATAGGATCAAGAGATTGGGACTCTCTGGTGAAAAGTAGCCCACCATCTGTCGTTTAGTGGTTCTGAGAGCTTTATGTTTGGAGAGGGAGGGAGCTGAAACCCAGCCTTGACCTGCCTACAGTGGGGCACCTATTGGGAGTGTTTGTTAGGAAACTAACAAATTCCCAGTATGCAATCTGGGAGACTTCCCAGAGGTCCTGACTGAGCCTGAGGAGCCATGAGGGAAAATCTGAGCAACAAGAAGTGGAACTGTGTTTCAGGGCTGGAATACTTACCCATCTCTGAATGCAGGTTCTACCTTACACAGAAGCAGCTGGGGAGCAGAACAAGGGAAGAGGAGGCTGCTCAAAAGCAAATTCTTGCCTGCCCTGGGGGAGGGGGGTGCACTGAACCCACGTAGGAAGGAGGAGAGCTGAAGGAAAAGAGCAAGAGGGAACATGTACAGGGAGAAGATGATGAGAGAAGGCTAGAGGGAGCATCTTGGAGGAACTGGTAAGACTTTTTAAAAGGAGCATATAATGGATACCCATTCTGAAGAATACCTAGGTGTATAAGAATCTTTAATACGTATTTCTTTTATCTTCTCTAAATTACCATTCTTCATATCCAAGTGCCAGCTGGAAGGGGCTTCCTTCATATTCCCTTGTTGTAAAGCCTCTCTTTACAGGTTAGAAGAGAGGCTTGGTTTTAAGCCCCCTTGCAACCCTGGCATCCCTGCAACAAGGCATGGAGGGATTTGCAGGACTGCTAGCTGTCTCTTGAACCCAACTTGGAGCTGTGGGTTGTCAGAACAGGTGACCTGGCACACCCAGGGCATCAGGCCACTTTCTCAGGGCATTGGGAAAATGGCAGCAGTGGGGGATACTCACGGGCTGGAGCTTAGCAATGGTGGTAGCTGCTGGTGTATTTTTCACAGGACTTTCAGAAAATGTATCCATGAAAACTCACATCAGCTTTTTGTTTTTTGTTTTTTTCCCTAAGATTTTAAGTAATCTCTACACCCAAGGTGGGGCTTGAACTCACAACCCCAAGATCAAGAGTTGCATGCTCTTCCCACAAGCCAGCCAGGCACCACTCACATCAGCTTTTTTAGGCTGGAGAAGCCCGCACAAGACATCAGGTGCAGATAATTTTTTTTTCTTCATTTTTTTTTTATTATGTTCAGTTAGCCACCATATATTACATCATTAGTTTTTGATGTAGTGTTCAATGATTCATTAGTTGTGTATAACACCCAGTGTTCATCACAACACGTGCCCTCAATACCCATCATCCGGCGACCCAATCCCCCCATCTGCCTCCCCTCTGAAACCCTGTTTGTTTCCCGGAGTCCATAGTCTCTTATGTTTCATCTCCCTCTCTGATTTCTCCCCCTTCAATTTTCAATCCCTTTCCCTATGGTCCTCCATGCTATTCCTTATATTCCACATATGAGTGAAACCATATGATAACTGTCTTCGTCTGACTGACTTATTTCACTGAGCATAACCCCCTCCAGTTCCATCCATGTTGATGCAAATGGTAGGTATTCATTCTTCTGATAGCTGAGTAATATTCCACTGAATATATGAACCACATCTTCCTTATCCATTCGTCTGTTGAAGGGCATCTTGGATCTTTCCAGTTTGGCTATTGTGGACACTGCTGCTATGAACATTGGAGTGCATGTGCCCCTTCTTTTCACTACATCTGTGTCTTTGGGGTAAATACCTAGTAGTGCAATTGCTGGGTCTAGGGTAGCTCTATTTTTAACTTCTTGAGGAACCTCCATCCTGTTCTCCTGAGTGGTTGTACCAGCTTGCATTCCCACCAAGTGTAAAAGAGTTCCCCTTTCTCCACATCCTCTCCAACATTTGTTGTTTCCCGTCTTGTTAATTTTTGCCATTCTAACTGGTGTAAGGTGGTATCTCATTGTGGTTTTGATTTTGTATTCTGCCACATTGCTGAAAGGACTGCCTTTGCAGTATCCCATAGGTTTTGGACAAATGTGTTTTCATTCTCATTGGTTTCCATGAATTGTTTAAGTTCTTCCTTAATTTCCTGGTTGACCCAATCATTCTTTGGTAGGATGCTTTTTAATTTCCACATGTTTGAATTCCTTCCAAATTTTTTTGTGATTGAGTTCCAGTTTCAAGGCATTGTGGTCTGATAACACACAGGGAATAATCTCAATCTTTTGTTATCAGTTGAGGCCTGATTTGTGACCCAATATGTGGTCTATTCCAGAGAAAGTTCCATGTGTGCTCGAGAAGAATAAGCATTCTGTTGTTTTAGGGTGGAATGTTCTGCCACACATATCTACTAAGTCCATCTGGTCCAACGTGTCCTTCAAAGCTCTTGTTTCTTTGTTGATCTTCCGCTTAGATGATCTGTCCATTGCTGAGAGTGGAATGTTAGGATCTCCTACTATTAAATGTATTATTATCAATATGTTTCTTTATTTTGGTCAACATCTGGCTTATGTAGTTGGCTGCTCCATGTTGAGGGTACAGATAGTTACAACTTTTAGATTTTCTTGTTGAATAGACCCTTTAAGTATGATATGGTGTCCCTCTACATCTCTTACTACAATCTTTGGTTTAAAATCTAATTTGTCTGATATAAGAATTGCTACCCCAGCTTTCTTTTGAGGTCTGTTGGCATGATAAATGGTTCTCCGTCCCCTCACTTTCAATCTGGAGGTGTCTTTAGGTTCCAAATAAGTCTCTTGTAGACCACATGTGGATGGGTCCTGTCTTTGTATCCAATCTGCAACCCTGTGCCGTTTCATGGGAACATTTAGGCCATTCACATTGAGAGTAACTATAACTACTGAAAGATATGAATTTAGTGCCATCATATTGCCTGTAAAGCCCATTTCTATAGATTGTCTCTGTAAATTTCTGGTCTATGTTACTCTTGGGGTCTTTCTACTTTTATAGAATCCCCCTTTATTATTTCTTGCAGGGCAGGCTTGGTGGTTACATATTCTTTCAGTTTCTGCCTGTCCTGGAAGCTCTTTGTCTCCCCATCCATTCTGAATAACAGCCTTATGGGATAAAGTATCTTGGTTGCATGTTCTTCTCATTTAGTACCCTGATTATGTCTTGCCAGCCCTTTCTGGCTTGCCAGGTCTCTGTGGACAGGTTTGACATTATTCTGATATTCCTCCACCATAGGTAAGAAATCTCTTCCCCCTAGCTGCTCTCAGGATAGCTGCCTTGGCTCTAAGATTAGCAAGTTTCACTATTATATACCGGGGCATTGGTCTGTTTTTATTGGTCTTGGGAAGGGTCCTCTCTGCCTCTTGGACTTGAACACTTGTTTCCTTCCCCAGATTAGGGAAGTTCTCAACTATGATTTGCTCAAGTATACCTTCTAGTCCTCTCTCTCTCTCCACCCCCTCAGGGATCCCAATAATTCTGACTTTGGAATGTTTCATGGTGTCACTGGTCTCATGGGCTTCTAATGTTTATCCCTATCCTCCTTGACTTCCTTCCT